CCCCCCCCCCCCCCCCGACCTTGAATCTCAGCTCTCTTCTTTGAAAGGGATAAAGTCAGTCGATGTTTCCCCCATCTGCAGCTTTGTATTCATGAATAAACAAGCAAACATGCCAGAGCCCTGGTCAGACAGAGTTCTGCCAAGGTGAAGATCTGGTGCTGGGTGTTCCCAACACTGCAGCATCTGGGATGTGTGTCCGGTCGACACACCGGGGGAGGGGCAGAGGTGGAAAAAGGGAAGAGGAACCAAGGAGAGAGCTCTCCTAGGCAGGAAAATGTGGCTGAACTCCATGTCCCTCCTGGGACAGGAATCCGCTGGGTACCTCACCAGTGTATGACAAAAGAATGAGATTTTCCCCCATCTGCAAGAAAATGTAAAATGTGATTAGGGAGGTGTGTCCAGGGCAAGACTTTAAAAGGCAAAACTAGCAAGGAGGAGAAATTAGTCTTCAGTGTCCTCTAGGCCCCCATTCTATCCCCAAATACATCGAAAACAAAATTGTCCATAACCTCAGCCACTTGTTAGATGATTATACAGTTCATCTCTTGGGAGTAGCACTCTAAAACAAGTGTAAGAAGGATAGTGTTTACAAAGTATTAATTCCTGTTTGCATTCCTGAGACCCTGAGCTGCATCTTATCCATCTATCTGGGAATGATAAAGAAGAATGTTACAAAAAGGTACAAGGAGTTAGACCTTCTAACTTCTGACATGCAAAATAGAATTATGTGGAAATACACAGACTTGTAGATGAGGCTGTTGTCTTGAAAAGACAATTTCCCAGATTCCTTCATCTCTCCTTAGCATCAAGGACCAAGCCTGGAGAATCTGGTTAATTTGGCCCAGGGGCCACCAGTTTGAGACCCCTGGTTTATACACTCTCTAAGTTCCTTCTACTTCTGAGATTCTGCAGCTCCCTGTGTTTCCACAGACTCAAAAAAGAACTCGATTGAAGAGCTGTAAACCTAACTCTGGAAGTTATTTGTTAAATACCTAATTACTACTGATTTGGGAATCTGAAGTCACATTGGTCCCACAGGACCCCTAGGAGAGCACAGCCTGAGCCTGACTTCGCAGGGCCAGCTGATAAGGGGGGAGTAACTCATGATCCTCAAAGCAGAGGCTGGATGACTCCTATGGTAAACTGAATAAGGGCTCCCAAAGACATCCAGGACCTAATGCCTGGGACCTGTGAAAGTTACTTTATGTGCAAAGAGGGACTTTGCCGATGTGATTAAATTAAGGATCTTGAGATGGGGAAATTATCCTGGATTACTTGGGTGAGCCCTAAATGTAATGACAAGTGTCTTTATAAGAGGGAGGCGAAAGAAGACTTGACTACAGAAGAGGTGAAGGCAGTATGATGATGGAAGCAGAGATTGGAGTGGTTCCATTTGAAGATAGAAGATGGGGCCACAAGCCAAGGAATACAGGTGGCTACTAGAAGCTGGAAAAGACAAGAAAAAGGATTCTACCCTAGAGCCTCTAGAAGGAAGCAGCCCTGCTAACACCTTAACCTCAGCCCAGTGAAACTGATTTCGGACTTCTGACCCGAACTGTAAGAGAACAAATTTGTGTTGTTTTAGCCCACGAAGTCTATGGTAATTTATGACAGCAGCAAGGGGAAACTAATACAGTCCCTACCCTGGCTGCTGCAGGGATGGGCCACACAGTCTTTAAGATGTCTTCCCACCGCAGGGGCACAGCTGCCAGGTCTCCGCTCCAGGACAGAGTGACCTACTCGTCATCAGAAAGACAAACAGCCTCTTGGGGGTTGTGCACACTCTCCAGGGAGCCCCCTGCCCTCAGGCTTAGTGAGGACGGCCCACAGCCCACTGAGCAAGGGGGTACAGGCTGAGCAAGGGACTGAACACCCACATCCAAATGTCCCCGGGGGCCCCACTCCGTCCCTGACCTCAGGACCAGCCCCCAGGGAAAATCTGCTCACCACGACCTTCCCCCAGTCCCCATGCTGTTCGGCAAGCTTCATCTTTAGTCCCAGAGGGATGCAGCAGCTCCCCAGGCTCACCTACCACTACCAGCCCCTTAATGACACATAGGTTCAGGGGCAGGCTGCCTGAATGTTGATTCCAGCTCCACTGCATCCTGGCTGTGTGAACTTGGGCCTCCATTTCCTCACCTGTACCATGGCGATAAGAATGGCACCCCCCTCATAGGGTGGACCATTCACTAGCTCATTGAGCAGATATTCCTGAGCCAAGCGCTGCTCCAGGCAGAAGTGAAACATCATGAACAAAACAGACAAAAGTCACTCCCCTTATGATGGTGACATTCTGGTGGGGAAAAAACTGTGACTTGTCACTCATTAAAAATAAGATCACTCCACCAAGTACTGTGAAAGTTATATGAGCTGTTGTAGGTAAAACATTCAAAACAGAACCTGAAATATAGTTATGTTGACTCATAACTGATCATAATTTTCTAGCAGGACCCATGGGGTTACCTCCCTGTCAGGGTTCCTGGAACCTGCACTCACAACACATGCCCATCAGGTGGGCGTGCGAACCCCCAACTCCCGAGATGCGAGGGGGCTAAACGACATGTCCTTTCTCTCCCCCTCCCTGCGAACTGGTTGCTCTGCTCCAATCTCTACGCTGATTATATGTTGGGGCTTTTCCAGCCCCGCTGGCTGCCCCAAGAGCCCTCTCCATACCCATAACTGAATTACCATTTTGTTCCAGCTCACAAGAGCACTAGTGTGGGAACACCGCAGGCCTGATGGAATATTCGAGACCCTGCCATTTGTTGGAAATTTTCTCTGGCTGCCTTGGTATTAACAGCCATACATTTTGGTCTCAGGCCTGGGAGTGGGGATTGAGGCTGAAAAACTAAAGTTTCTCTCCGGGCCATTCTGTGCCAGCCTTCCAGAGATTTCTACTCTCTGGCTGCTCAGAGGCCAGGACACAGCCCCAGAGAAGAGTTGGTGGCAGGGAGCAGGTCTGTGTCCTACATACACACTTCCCCCCAATTCCAACCAAACTCGTGACAACACGGGGCTGAGCCAATTAGGGACACTAAGGGGAAAATCCACCTCACTCTTTGCCTTAAATCCATCCCGGTCATAGCAGGTCAGGTGGACTTCTCCAGAATAAGGCCTAGAGGAGAGTTTGTAAACTGGGATCCTTGGGCCAAATCTGCCCTGCAGATGTGTTTTGTTTGGCTTGAAATGTTTTGAGTAAATTTGAGCCAATGTTTAAAAACCAGGATATTTCCCACAAAAATCCAGATTTCCGGCTTCCTCTGAAAAGGGGGACGTTCTAGCCACAACTTGGGCCCATATTCTCATATGGCCGGAGTCAAGTATGGCTCCCTCTCTCAATGATATGCTCTTCTGCCATTCACCACAGGCTCCACCACTCCCTATTGTCTGTCTCCCAAGAGAAGGAAGGACAGTTGCCTTTGGGATCCCACTTGCTTTATTGTTTTTCATAGGAGATAAAAACTTCTCTGACCACAGCTCAAGACAATTTGAGAAAACAAAACATAGATTGGTTTTTTCTTCATTATACCCAGCCCACTTCTTTCACTTATGCCAGCAGCCCAGGCTCCATAAGCACTTCAGTTTATACTTCTTGTTCCAGAGCTGCACTGTCAAATATGAGAGCCATGAGCAACGTGTAACTATTTCCATTAAATTAATTAAAATTAAAAATTTCCATTCCTGGTTGTTCTAACCACATTTCAAGTACTCAACAGTCACCTGGGAGTAGTGGCCACCGTGGTGGACAGAGCAGAGGAGAACATTTCCATCATCTCAGAAAGTCGTACTAGGCTGGACTCTGGAGAGATTTAAATATAAGATGTGGAGGCTACCATCCAGTGAAGATACCTGTTGAGTTCTACATCTGTGCCACATTGGGAGCTCTGGGGAGAGCTGCTGCCTTCCAGCGGTTCACTATCTAACTAGGGAGAAAGCCATAGCCAGCGACAAGAGATGACAGGAAGTACCCGCTGGTGTCACAGGGACCCTCTCAGAGCCAGAGAAGGGGAGCAGGTCTTTGTTTTCATGATACAAAGAAAATGCTCTGCTTGCCCATTGCATGCCCTCTCGGCCCAGTCCAGGCAGTCTCCTCAGAGGCTTCCAGAGACCGGGACTCTCTCAGCCCCGTCACGGTGATGCTGCTTTGATGTCTGGCATAAGTGTTAGAGGCTCCCCAAGCAAAACACACAAGGAGAGTCAAACTCCAGCACACCCCACTGCCTGTTTCTCCTGCCCTCACGCCCCTCAAGGCTGTCCTCTGTCCTCTCCACAAATCCAGATCTCGCCCACTCCCAGGGCTCCTACTCCAGCCCCTGCCCTTCCCTCCCCTATGTCCAAACAAGACACTCCTGGGACCCAGACCGTCAGGGTAATGCTCTACACAAGAAACTAATTTCCAAGAATATTTACTTTCAACAGAAAATTTCCATAGATGCTACCAAAAGAAAACAGCTGCATCTAAGTGTGAGAATTTTCAGGTTGATCAAGGGGAAAGAGACTCAGATTTCTGGTTGTAGGGCCCACCTTAAAGTCCTTCATACTTATGAACTGCATGACTCAGCAATTACAGCATCACTGATCTCTAAGTTACTTTACTTATTGCTCTCTAAAATGGATCGAATGATACCAGCCTTAACACTTGAAGGATTAAAGACTCAGTGAGATAATGGATAAGAAAGCTACAAAGCCCAACACAAATATTTGTTGTTATTAGTTCTAAGGGGGAATGATCTTCCCTCAGCCAGCACAGAGGCCAGCACTCACTAGAAGTTTGTTGAAGATTATTTTTTAATGATCCCAGAGTAGGAGGTGAGGAAAGACATTTTGAGACAAAGGGGACTCTTGGCATATTCCAAGATCAGATCACCCAGACGAACATCTACACAGAAGCAGGGCTTCTGAATCTTTTAGTACCAAAGGCTACTTCAGCCACCTGGTAAAGACATGGCTCTTTCTCAGGATGCTTTTTTTTCTTTTTTTTTTTAATGTATAAATAAAAGGCATAGGGTTACAAAGGCAATCAACTATACTGATACACAGTCATCAAAATATTCCAGAAAACAAATTTGTGATATAATAATGCATGTGCTTCTTTATTAACCCATTAAATAATGAGATCTGTCAGCACATCTAATAACCAATGCACTTTCAAAGTAGTGAGGAGTAAAGACTATATTTCAAAGGATCTGGTTCTACTCTCATGCTGTAAACTCTCCGATTCCTCTTGGTGACAAAGTCACAGGTCTTGCTAAGGCTACTGTGGTCAGTGCCTACATTCATTATTAAAGAAATGCTGAATTTCCGTTAAAGATTAGAGAAAATAAAGATGGAACTTTTCTTCATCCAAGTTTAGGGCTCCTCTGAATTCTAGGCATGGATCCCGGTCAAGAATCCCTGAAGTGGTACCCTTGACCTTGTACCATTTGATTCTGCCTTTCTCTAGTTCACCGTCACAGGGATAGATCCACATGGCTTATATAAAGGCAGGCCCTTTATAGCACATATTTCCCTAATTCCCCCACTCCAGAACCTCTTCTGCATGGGAGCTAGGGTCCAAGGATACCCCCTAACTCCTGCTCCCCTGATGCACTGAAGGATCCTACTAACAGTCCTAGTGGCCCAGGCCTTGCTGCATCTCCTGGCTGCATCTTCTGTCTGTTGTCTAGGGACAAGGTAACCACAGCTCCCATTAACTGAGCACTTACTATGTGCTGATGACTACTGTATGAGGTGCTTTATGCTCATTACAGGTTGAACACACAACCCCACAAGGAGGCAGTGTTATCTTAGAGGAAACAGAGGCCGAGAGGTTAAAGGTTCACTGACTTGCCCCAGGTGATAAGCAGGGTTTGAATTCAGTTCTGATTACAACTCACCTCTGAATCCTTCATGCTTTAAAAGCATACCAAGTGGGCTTCCCTGGTGGCGCAGTGGTTGAGAGTCCGCCTGCCGATGCAGGGGATACGGGTTCGTGCCCCGGTCTGGGAAGATCCCACATGCCGTGGAGCGGCTGGGCCCGTGAGCCATGGCCGCTGAGCCTGCTCGTCCGGAGCCTGTGCTCCACAATGGGAGAGGCCACAACAGTGAGAGGTCCACATACCGCAAAAAAAAAAAAAAAAAAAAGCATACCAAGTAAGGTATTATGAAAATTACAGTTTAAGCCCAGTCACCCTGGGCCGCTGCCCAGGAGATGGGTGAATGTGAACAAGGACCAGGAGCCTTTCCTGACACCCAGAGAAGTGGCTGAACAGGGTGGCATTGCCCAGCCCTCCCTACGCCCTTCCCAAAGGGAAATGAGGGGATTTAAACTAGAGTTTCAAGAGAGAATGTTCTGAAAGGAAGGAATACAATAGCATCTCTGTAGTTGCAACAGGATCTCTAGGGCATCAGGAGAAGTGGGGAGAGCAGGGGGGAGGAGGGTGAGACAGAACTGTAGGACTGGGGCCTGCAGACAGTGGCTGGGTGTGAGGGGAGGCCGGGAGGGAGTACTGTCCAGGAGGCCACCGCTGCCGGTGGCCAGTTCCCCAGCCGGGAACCAGGTCCCCCAACAGGTACACACTGAGCTTCTGTGTGAACAGACAACAGAGCCACTTTGTCCTGGAGAAAGAGGCCTGTGTGCCCTGCCCCCACTCTCCTCTCAGCACAGAGATGGGCATCCAAATGGCCCATTCACTGGCCATCCCAGCCTCAAACTGGCTGCTGCCTCCACCTCCACTGGGCCCAGGCATCCCAGGCAGCACGACCCAAAGGCCTCATCCCAGCCTGGGCACAGCGTGAGTCCGTTACTCCCCCCGCCTCTTCCATCCACCTGGCTGGAAACCAGTTATCACATTATCACTGGGGCTGGAGTTCCTTCATTTCCTTTGGAGAAAAGGATGAAGGGGGTTACGGATCCTGTACTTTTTGAAATTATGACCTTCTACGGTTACAGGTTTAACTGTATGTGGGTCTTCCCTTCCCACCTCAAATAAGACCCCAAGCATTTAAAAGTACTAAAGCAAAGTTTTAAATCGTGGCCAGAATGAAGAAGAAAGACACGGCCTCTGCCTTTAGTTTACAGCCCAGATGAGAACATGACCATACACAACACTGCTGCATTAAGTACTCAGGTTGTAGAAATTACTGAGGGAGGTGTAAGTTGCCTGTGTGTGTATATGAAGGAAACTTGGAATGGAGGATTGGACGTTCATGGATAAACTCCTTTCAGGAAACGAGGAGACTGAGATATAAGAGACAGAATGTCTTGA